TTATTATTATAAAGCTTTATTTGCATGACCTAATTACAGGTATTGCTAAGCGTAGATTATATATATATAAAATGTCAGTAATGTCTAAGCTATAACTATAAAAATATATAGGAAGAAGCTATTTACAAATAGAAAAGCAGTATATAATTTAAAGATATAATGTTGGGTTTTTTTTTGTTTATTTTGTTTTATTATTTATCTAAGCAATTTTTAGTCTAATTGTTGTCCCTAATCTTCCATGGATTTGAGGCTTTTATCTCTCTCCGAAAAACAGTGAAAGATATACTTAGAAAGCAGGTTAACAAGAACTGGATCGTCTGAAGACATCGCATGCTCAAACAGTTTTTGTTTTCCTTCCATTGTGTTATTAAGATAAAATAGATTTTTGAGAATGTTGTTAGAATTATTTCTTAATTCTTCGTATTTCGGGCAAGATAAGGCTAAGTGATATTCGTTTTCCACTTCACCGTTGTTGCAAAGTTTGCAGAAACGTTGTTCGCGAGAAACGTTTTCGTATCTTCCTCGCTCAGTTTGCAATTTATGATTACTTACTCTATATTGAGAAAATGTTCTTCTTATCGTTGGGTTATCAATAAGGGATAAATATTCTTCCATTTTGTACTGGTTTTTAAATGTACAAAAGAAAAATAGTTTGGAGGAGTTAATCATTTTATGTTGCCAAAATTCAAAATATTTATCTTTCATCTTATTTACAATAGTTTTTGTATCGTAGTTGATTATATCACTTTCCAAGTTTGTTGTATTATCATAGAGCCGATTTAAGCATGTTTATTGCGTTGGTGTAGAAAGATTCTTTGCCTTTTTCAAATAGTTGTTTAGACATTAGGAAGGATTGTTTAACTATTGAGTTGTCGTCTAGTTTAAAAATATGTTTAAAATAGTTTAGTACATTCTTTTTTATTGTAATCAGCAGTGGGTATTTCCCAAGTTCACTTCTGCAAGCCACGTTACTGGCTCTTCTGTTAACACCTAGGTATAGCTTGCAGAATCCTAAATGAATTTTTTCAGTTTCTGAATTATCCCATTTATTCAGATCATTGGTTGTGACCTTAAAAAGTAATAATTTAAGTTTTTTATACGCTATTCTTCTTCTCGTCCTTTTTTACGCAATTCCGCGTTTTATCCTCATTTGCGGAATCCGCGTTTTATCCTCAAATGCGGAATCCGCGTTTTATCCTCATTTGCGGAATCCGCGTTTTATCCTCAAATGCGGAATCCGCATCCGGAATCCGCTTACGGAATCCGCATTCCGCTTCCGCGTTTTATCCCAACCCCGCTGTGTCAGACGCAGTTGAACTGTTGAAGCGAATAGCTGTCTCGAATAAACTATTACCGGTAACATGACACGAGGACCGAGGAGAAATCCTATTCAGAGCGCCGAATGGTTGTCTCTTTAGACTCCTGGAAAAAGCCATCGAGCTATGGTTCCCCGAATGAGGCATACTTTACGCTTAGAATTCCATCATGTGGATATTTCGACAAAAACATACCGATTTTTCTCCGTATTTATTCAAATTTATACAAAACTGCAAATAACGAAATTTGCGTATTTACATACCTGTAGCGGACAACCGGAAATATGCTACAACCGGAAATAATTTTAATTGGCTGATATTCTGGGGGTGGAAGCCCGTAGAGGCGAATCAGGGCGAATTGTGTCAGGCTCTCTTCAATACCGAGGGCCTGATACTCAGGTTACAAAGTTGTAAATAAACGCACGCAGCGAGACAATTGTCCATTGTAGTTTAATATTGCAACTGAAACTCTGTGATTATGTTACATTGGTTTGTTACAGTTCTTGGAGCATAAAAGTAAGTCCATTGTATTTTTCGTATTTCCTTAGTCAGTTTTATCTCGAAGTTTTAATTTAATTAAATTGCACGGAAATATTTAACCTCGGTGTAAGTGTTTTCCAAATCACCAAATGTAATGTAACTTCCACCGACAAAAATAGTAATGGGAAGAATTGTTTCTGCTCTACCATCAGATTTGAACTATAAAGTTCATATTTTGTCGATAGTAAGGGACAGCTCATTACAGGTATTGCAGAACTATCACTTGAAACTGAACTGAATCATTTACTACAGACATCAAAATAGGCAGTCGCGAGACTGCACGTGCCACTGTTAGTATATAACAATGCGCGGAAAGTATTACATGTAACCAGACACAGTTCTATAATGCGGTGCCCTAGTGTCTTCTAGGGACAAAACAAAGTCAAAACCTTCGACACTAAAGTGCATGACAGAATATTAAATAGTTGCATATTGACAACAGTTTTGTCCTGAAGCCGGATTTCAAGCTCCCCCCCCCTATTGGCAGACCCCCTCCCCCCCATTGTTGAGACCCGTCGGAAAATTTGAAATTTGTTATGTTGTCGAGTTTGTCGGAATCGATACGTAAGAAAAGTTATTTCAAAATATGTGTAATAAACTGCAAGTCGTACATGAATGTATCGACAGAAAATGTAAACAATAAATATGCAGCGTCAGCAGCGATAAATATAATTATTACCTTAGAGATTACATGAAGAAAATATGCTTGTGATTCCGCATAAACCACAAACTCACAGGCAGAATATAAAGCCGGTGTCAAACTTGGACTGGCACCGCAATTTAAAGCCATGCTTGGGGCTGTGGCTATGTTTTTTACGTTTGAAAAAAGTCAAAATGTTCTTGGTCGTGCGTGGGCGCAGTATGTATATACACATATACTGTAGACAAAGTAACTTGAATGCAAAGAAAATCATTAAGAAGTAAACTGTGTGTTATCAGTGTCATTTACAATGAAGCATGTTAACATTTTGAATAGAACAAGCGTAAGATATTGGAATCGTAGCGCGATTCCCAAACATCCCAAACATCTGAAATCCCAAACATCTGAAATCGTCGTCGAATGACTACATCCTAGCCCTAACAAATTATGCATATGTACATTTATATCGAAAGTAGGACTATGTTTAAATAGGCGATTCCCAAGACGTACTTTGGCTTGTTTGGAGAACCCGGAAATTTCAACCATCTTTGATCTAAAATAACCAAGTCAATAACATTTCGATTTATGGAGAAAAGATATCACAAGAAAGTTCCATATATTCTAAAAACATAGATTGTAACAGCAGACCAAAACTTATAATGCGCGCTCAGCACAGCACATGGTGTTGACTGCTTTATATAGCGACATTTCTTGGACATTTCGCGTCATTTTTGGTTCGATTTTTGAAGTACTCTAACTTTTCTTCATTTCGTGTTTCATGGCTGAAATTTCAGTAAATGTGTGGGGTTGGATAGGTCTACAATATATATAAAATCGAGGGAAGTTGAAGAACTTTCAGTTTTTCATATCGGCCAGAAAATGGCGAATTATTGCGATTTTTACAGACAATTAAGCTCTCTTAAAATGTTCTGGTGCCGGTTGTATAAAAAAGTGATTAAAGTTAATCATAGTTAAGTGGAGATGTCATCCAATAAGAAGCGCCTATTTGAGAGTTAATCACTATTTAACTACAAAATAGTGATTAAAAAAGTGATTAAAAGTTTCATGCAACCGTCCCCTGTTGGAGATATAAATAATATTAGTATTTTTCCCCAAAAGATTTATATAACAAATCCTACAAGTTGGTTAAAGTACGGTTGGTCAAATTTGACGTATAATTAAGCTGTTATATTCACCTACTGCAGCTGAATATATAACAAAACCGAAATTCGCAAAATGGCGGCTAGCCGTTTTGTGTAAGTTACTGATAAAGAAATAATCAAAATTAAAATACATTCAGTCCCCCAAAACACAAAAGACTTGTGTAAAAATACTAAAACAATTATTCGCCTCAGGCTCCGGTGATTATCGAGGAATATTCCTCGTAAGGTGGCTCCCCAGCCTAGTCCCAGGCTCTCTTTCTATTCGCTGCTTTGATATATTTAAATAAGTCTTAAAAGTTTTATGCCTGGGTGTGCTGTGCGGAACGCTTCAGCGAGAGAGCCTAGCAGATTTCGGTAAAATGGTCCCTGATTTCAAAAAAGTGGTCCCTGGCCTGGTTACCAAGCATACCTCATTTGTAAATGTTATGGAAATTTCCTTTGCATTTATAATTAAGTCATTAGTTTTGCTCTAATCTGTCAGAACAATGAAGTAGGCTACGTTTCGCGGCCATACGGTCAGAATGGAATAACGGGCTAAATATGACTCGTGTTTACTAAAATATATATAGCCATATTAAATGCTATCTAGAAGCTTGAAAATTATGCCGATTCTCTGACTAAGAATGTTTCGACAACACCGTCATGTCAGGCAAATATTTCCAATAATAATAATAATAATAATTTAATTCTTCAGTGCGCATTTACAAAAATTTCTCAATGCTCATTACAATGGTATTACTTATTAATACAGTATATATTAGATTATATAGTTAAAAATTTGCGAATACTAAGAACTAACTGTGAGCTTGGTTAAAAAGAAGAGTCTTAAGTTTATTTTTAAAAATATCAACAGATGTCTCTAGTCTCAATTCATCAGGCAGGCTATTCCAAAACGCCGATCCACCCTTCCTAAATGTTCTATCGCCATATGTTTTCGTGATTGTCCTTGGTTCTTGAAGCAAATTTTTAGAAGCAGATCTTAAACACCGCGAAGGCTGATGTATTTTCAGAAGGTTTTGAAGATAGGATGGAGCCAAATTATTTGAAGCTTTAAATACTATTAACCCAAGTTTAAATTGGATACGGCTTTGTATAGGAAGGCAATGAAGTTCTTTCAAAATGGGAGTAATATGCTCTCTTTTATTTGACCTTGACACAATTCTAGCGGCTGTGTTTTGTACATGTTGTAGTTTCTCAATCTCACGTTGTGGAAGCCCATAGAGGAGACTGTTGCAATAATCAAGACGAGATGTGACAAAAGCATGAACCAACCGCTCCGCAGTCGATTGGTCAAGATACTTCCGTATACTGCCAATGTTCCTCAAAGCAATGTAAGCTGTTTTACAGATTGAATTTACATGACTCTTCAGAGAGATTTTCGTCCACAATGGCGCCAAGGTCACGGACCTCAGTTTTGATCTTGATTAAGCTATCACCAATATAGACGCTGGGAGGAGCTGGATATGATTTAGCATATGCAGAATGTAGATAAATAGCTTCAGTTTTTCCATCGTTTAAAACCAGTTTGTTTTGAAGGCACCAAGCCTGAATATCATGAAGACAATGTTCAAGACGCTGAATGGCAGTGTCAGAATCGTGTTTCTTTAGGATAATGTAAAGTTGAGTATCATCAGCATAGATCATAGCATCAATGTCATGGGCAGTAAAAATATCTTCTAGTGGAGAAACGTAAAGAGAAAAAAGCAATGGTCCGAGAACCGACCCTGAGGCACACCTTGTAATAGCGGAATTGATGCCGATTTAAACCTGTCAAGTAGAAAGCGTAGTTGTGTATACCAGTATGGTCTAGTGTTGATCACAACTTGCGAGTACATAAATAACATCAACGATTGCTCAAACTCGGTATCGTAAATTTGTATATAATTTTTTTTAGTTGAGCACATTTTTAATACAGTAATTTGATTTGGTTATGTAGACATCGAACATGTACATGATGAACGAACATTGTCGTATTTACAATTAAAAGGTTACTTGTATATATAAATTTTCCGCCATATTAAAAATACTGAAATCTGCTAGGCGTTCTGAAGCTCCTTGAGCGGTGACATCACACCTAGGTCCCAGTCTCGTACTACATCCACTTTTTTCTCGCGCTTGCTTCAGAACGACTGGGACTAGGCTGGTGGCTCCCTACACTTTTAGGTATGTATAGCCTTGATCTCACTTTGACTCTGTTTATAATAAAGCATTCAGGTTCAACCGTTCTAATATTAAGATTTAATTTCTTTGAAGAACCACGGTTCCTTATCGTGGTTATACTCGGAATTTACAAACATACTAACTAAACCTAAGCTTAACACACGCTTTATACTAGAATTAAAATAATTAATTAAACATGCATGCATGCACTAATTGATTTGCTATTACATACCGGCCTCAAAGGCTTCCAAGCCTTTCAATACTAAATAGCAAATATTTACATCCTATACTAAATTATTTTTTTTGTTATTTTCCTTAATCTAAAAACGTTCAATAAATTAAATAGTTCAACATAGTCGAAATATTAATTGTTTCTAAGTGTAACCAAATTTAAATATTGACTAATCGTCTCTAATTAAATAGCACTTTCTAACAAACACAGTTTTCGCACGTCACGTCGTAATCGCGCAGTTTCAGTCCTTATTATAACATGGCGAACATGACTATATTCATCAGGGAATACTTCTTCAACTATAGCTTTCGGCCACTGTCCACGTTGAACATTCTCTTGCACGACTAAAACGAGATCACCAGGAACAACATTTCGTCGAGGGCGTAACCATTTCTGACGTTCTTGTAAAGTAGGTAAGTAATCCTTAATCCAACGCTTCCAAAATATGGAGGCAAGATACTGGGCTTGTTTCCATTTCTTGTTGTACAAAGTAGTTTCGCCAAATTCAACGGGTTGATAGCAAGGATTTGGACGTAATAACAACAATTTATTCGGAGTCAATGGCTCTACATCATTAGGATCATCACTAAGTCGGTTGAAAGGTCGATTGTTCAGGATTTTCTCGACTTCTGCCAAAATTGTTGCAAGAGTTTCATCATTCACCAACTGATCTGTCATCAACGAACGCAATATTTTCCTGATTGATCGGATCATCCTTTCCCAGACACCACCCGCGTGGCTTGCAGCTGGTGGGTTAAAATTCCATTCAATGTCACAACTTCTCAAAGAACGAGAAATACGATCCTGATTCAATTTTGTCAAAGCTTCCTTTATCTCGGTTTCCGCACCTTTAAAATTTGTACCATTGTCACTGAAGGCCTTGGTGGGAGGACCACGTCGGCTGACGAACCTCATAAAGGCTTGTATGAAGGAATCCGTGCTTAAATCGTAAGATACCTCAATATGGACAGCCCGGATAACAAGACAAGTGAATACGCATCCATATCGTTTGACAACGCTTCGCTTTAATTTCACAAAGAGTGGGCCAAAATAGTCGATACCAACTGATGAGAATGCTGGTTCTTCTGGAGTGACTCTTGCTTCTGGCAACGGAGACATCATTTGCTCTATCGGGCGTGAATTCCAACTACGACACGTAAAGCGCCTCCGCACTACTTGTTTAACCGCACTCGGACCTCGCAGAATCCAGAATCTTTGTCTAATTGTGGCCAAGACTTGGCTGCTACCAACATGGCCTTCCATCTGATGGTAGTGGTTAATTATCAACTGGGTCACTGGATGTTTCTGAGGTAGAATCTCTGGGTGAGAAGCGTTGTAACCAATCGAGGCTCTCTGTAAACGACCACCAACTCTCAGGACACCATCAACAATAATCGGATTAAGCTTTCTCAACGGACTTAAATAGCCTGTACCTCGAAGAACTTTACCCAAGCTGTCACCTTTCCCAGTCCGAATAAGTTCTAGTTCCTTGGGAAATGCCAACTCTTGAACCAAACGAACAATTTCATGTGTGCTATGACGTAGTTCGTAAACTCTAAGTGGTCCACGAGTCATATTTCTTGATCTCGAGCTTTTAAGCGCAGCGAGTATAAATGTCTTGAAACGAAGAAACCAGGCAACCGAGGTTTGAAGTTTCGTCCAAGTGGAAAATTGGTTCAACAAACACTAGCGGCTAAATCGAGGAATGCACATTTGCCCGACGCCATCTTGAATTCCGCGCAATGACCTGGGTCTCAGTTATGATGTCATAGTATCTATCATGAATGATGTAATCAAAACAAACGTATTCGCGGGAAAATGAAAATATTGGATTCTGATTGAATAAATACACTTTTGATGCTTTTAGATCATAAATAATCATATTATAATGACTTATTTTAGGTTTTGATTTCATATAAAGGGAAATAAACCGATCGAAAATACAAAATAACAGCATTTCGCGTATCGACATTTTTCACAGTGATTTGTATGCATTAATCGACACTTAGTCTCTGGACTGAAATATTCAGTTCGTTTCAGTTTCGTATAGTGAGCACATAGTTGTGTGCACGGTAGATGGAAATTCCGAAAATACCCTTCGATTCTGCATGAAATTCTGTATCAACAGCCCTAGCTTTCCTTTTTCATTCAAAAACTGAACCGAGATATTCGCCCTTTAATACTCTAAAACTCGAGTCTTTACCCTACTGTAGGAATTTGTGTACAGAGTAGATGGAAAATCGGAGAACACCATTGAATTCGACATAAAAGTCAGCATCTTTTCATAGTAAATATCTCTAGTCAATTTAATAAAGAAAACTTTTTATCGCGTGTTTACTTCCCAGCTGACAATAGAAATAAACTACGGATGTAGACAAGGGATACAGGAGAACTTTAATGGATAAACATTTTACTAATTTATTATTATCCTGAGATAACCACGGATGTCCCCAGTTAATAATGAATTCAATATGGCGTCGGGCAAATGTGCATTCCTCGATTTAGCCGCATGTCCGACTTCAGATGCCTGCCATGTTGGATTTCCGAGCGTGTCGTTCCCAGGCCCTTCGCAGAGCGCGGTCGGCTATGGTTATCCTTCAGCATCCCTGGCCGCCCCCCTTGGTTCACAGCACCTCGCACAGACTCCTCAGCCCATTCAGCAAGACCCATTCGTTGGTCATCCTCCAGGGGGGTTGTCCCTCGATCCACCCGGAACATCTTGGTCCCAGCAACCGTTCTCGGGGCAGGCTAATACTGCCGTCCATCCCTCTTCCTACCCCACCTCCCGACTCCGTATTGTCAGCCTGGCAGTTCAACAGCTCAAGTGCAACGGTCAGGTATCCCTTACTTTGTTTCGCCGTTCATGTCTAATTACCCAGGGGCACGTACCTACTGTACAACTTTACCCTCACAGTCGTTTGATAACGCCATGGTGGTGGGCCCCGGTTTCAACCCCGTTCCCCACAAACTGGTTACGGCAATAGCGTTGGGCCTTTACATTGATCTGGCAGCCCTTCTGTCCCCGCCATCTGACGAATCGTCCATCCCTACCATGTCGTTCGACGGCCGGTTAATAATTACTCCCCCCCCCCC